CAAACCATTTGGGCAGACCTATTATTAACAAAGACTAAAATATATTAAACTGATAACCGAATAAGGATGGGTTTAAAGAAAATGTAATGGGAATCGATTGTGGTGTAGAACTAGTGCGCTCGCCCCGCACCTCTGGGGTCATGCGTCCGTTCTTGGTCTCGTTATCTCACATGAGTAGAGTTTTGCTAGGTCTCTATGCGTTTAACAGCATAACAGTTTATTTGCCATTAGATATTCATTACATACAAAATACATACATAAATAATTTTTATGAAAATGGCAAGGAAGTCAGATTTAAAGCCGTGGGTCTTGACATGATGTCAAACTAGATATTTACATTAAGTCATTGTTAAATAAAGATTATAATTTCCTTATATTTACAATAATTTGAGATCCCATTTTACACTCACGTGAATATGATAATGTTTTCTTCCAAAAAAAGGAAGTCCACCAAAATCAAAATCAACTCGAGGGCACCTCCAGTACCATTGGTTTCGGTTATACTTTGTATCTGATGTCTCCAGACCATAGGGATACATGATAGGATCTTCTGACGGTGCTGCTAAGACCATAGGTCATAAATATAAACATTGTTAAAACTGCCTGGTTGAAACAACCAGAAAACATTGTTTAAACTGAGTTTATGCAACTGATGTTGAGTTTATGCAACTGTGGTTGCAAGAGGCTAGCGATAGCGAATATCGTAATGCAAACGATTGTTGGCGAATCTAAGATCAAGCTAGCGTGATCACATGGATAGCGTGCGATCGAGTTGACTCATTAGCAATAAATAGCGTTGATCGATATCGCGGTACGTAATTACCGATCAAATAGCTTAGCCCTCCTGATGACCAAAGATAATGCTAGCGTAATCACCAGAATAACGCGCGATTATGATAGCATTGTGTTTAACGTGTACACCTATTTCAAAAAACGTTGTCGGTTGGATATCTGGATTCAGAAATCTGAGACCGATTAGAATTGTGGAGGACTGAGTGTTTTCTCGTTAAAAATATAATATACACTTAGCCAGGTCATCGCTCAAAGTTAGTATATCAAGATATTAACTTTTTGCGAACTACTAATTAAAACCACAAAACAATTCAATTTACAGCTTACAACCCACGATTCTATACAGTAGGTGTATAGGTGGCCAGCGGGCAGACAACAATTGGAAACAGCGGCTAGTAGACTATTCGCTGCTACACAAATCGAGTCTTACATTGAGGTTATAACAACATACCAAAAGATATTGTTTACAATAACCAAACATATTTTTTATTTGTGATAACCAGAATAATATTGGTATTATAAATGATTACCTTTGGTTTATAACAACCAATGGGATCGGTTATTATAACCAATTTTTAAGATCAAGGCAATGCAATAGACCATTTCACAGATCCCGCGGCTCAACCTCAGCCTCGTCAGTGTGTAATATATTCTTTAGAAATTGCCTACAACCTGTGAAACTTTTAAGTGTTTCGATTGTTCGTTGATGTGTAAATTCCTTTCATTACTGCGGACTGTAGTCAAATTCTAAAGAATAATTACACGCTGACGAGGCTGAGGTTGAGTAACGGGATCCGTGAAATGGCATATTGAGATTACCATTTTTTTCTGGTTACTTCCTGACAATAGTCCACTTCACAGTTTCCTGCGCCATCTTGAAAGGTAACCATGCATTTGCATCGAAGCGAGACGAACGGTGTGCTTGCATTGACAGAGACCTTAAGACGTACTACCTTTCAAAGGTGAGCTAAGATTTCTTTACTTCATTTCACATTATCGTTTTGACGAATGTATTGAGGTTTTAAGCATCGCCTTACATTTCTTTAGTGATATGACAACCACAGACATCTAGATTTGGTTACCTGTGACCGTTAGTGTTTGAAAATGGCGGGCTTTGAATTAGCCGAGGTACATGATGGGTATATAAGCGCTTTCAAGGAATCATTGGGCTCGTTCCCAAAATAAATGTGGTAATAACAACCATATTGATATTGTTTCTTTTAGCAACCAACTGGGATAAGTATTTAGGTTGTTTTAATCATTTCATCAACCGTTTCAATTAGTCATAACCATTTTCTAGTTGTTTTAGCCAGTCACATTTTACATTGAACAACTAATATAAAATATCAAAAAGGTGTTTCAATTCGAAATGTTATATTCATCCCCAGTCTTCTTCAAATGTTTTGATATTATCCTTCCAAACATACATACCGTTAGTTGTTGTCGGTTGCATCGTCGTCGTAGTTGAAGCAAGCGGAACCACGGTAGAAGTAGTAGTTGGTGACGCCGCCATCGTAGTAGATGCAGAGTCCACCGGGATCGTAGAAGTGGTGGGTGACGCCGCCATCGTAGAAGATGTGAAGTCCACCGTGGTGTTGGTAGTGGTGGGTGACGCCGCTATCGTAGTAGATGTGAAGTCCACCGTGGTGGTGGTAGTGGTGGATGACGCCGCCATCGTAGAAGATGTGAAGTCCACCGTGGTGTTGGTAGTGGTGGGTGACGCCGCCATCGTAGAAGATGTGAAGTCCACCG